AACCAAAGTACTGTTTGAAAGTAAATTAATTCAGATACAAAACTTTAAATTCAGTTTCAATTTAGTGAAATTTATTTTCAGATCAATGCGTTCAGTTTAAATTAAACACATTCAGATTGACTTCCTGCTGGTACAACATTGATCCCACAGAAGCTTTCGAGGTCCAGGACTGTCCAGCTAAATGTAAAACAAAACCACAACAAATCCTAAGGCCTTATTTTATTCATCAGAACATGAGGTATGGAGGAACATCTCCAGCTGAGGGTCCTGGTCTGGGTGTCCCCTCTGGACACGGTACCTGCAGGTCTTCCTGTGTGGAGTTGGTGCTGCGGCGCTTGCGTCCCTTCTTGGGGTATCCGTTAATCTTACACTCGTAGCAGGCTTCAGGTGAGAGCGAGTTGTCGTCCACCTCCCCTCCYGCTTCCTGTCCGCCCCCCGGCCCCCCGCTGCCGAAGCCCAGACCGGAGACACAGTGCCTGAAACACACAGAGACATGAGACCACTACGAACAGCTGGGGGCTCGTCTCTCAGAGGAGCTCTGCGTACCCCTGTCCTGCTCGGTAGTACCCGGGGGGGCATCCGCACAGGTAGCCCCCGTCGGTGTTGGAGCAGCCGAACTTGCAGGGGTTCTGGCTGGTGGAGCACTCGTTGACGTCGGCGCAGCCCCCGGAGGTCTGCTCGTAGTTGAAGCCGGTGGGGCAGAGGCAGCGGAARCTCCCCAGGGTGTTGTGGCACGACGCCCCCCCACAGATCTGACTGTTCAGACACTCGTTCTCATCTGGGTCACAGGAAGGAGGCAGGAAGTCAACAAGCGAGGAGGTCGCTCCAGTCCAGAACACAAACAATACTGGGAAAGTCTGCAGAGAGTGTAGGACAGGATGAGGGCTCACCGACACACTGGTTCCACTGGTAGTGCTGCATGTACCCCTGAGGACAGCTGCACCGGTAGCCCCCCACCAGGTTCTGACAGCCGTGCTGACACCGGTGGCTCCCGTCACACTCATCCATATCTGTCAGGAACCAGAACCCGTTAGTAAAACTGGTCCATCTGTCATAAATCAGGTGATCCTGGGGGGTGTCGGGGGGTGCAGTGGTTTTCAGACCTTCACAGGTTTGTCCATTGGGGTCCAATGAGAATCCTCGCTGGCAGTCACAGCTGAAGCTCCCTGGAGTGTTCTGGCAGACCCCGTTAGAACCACATAGGTTTGGGTCTGAGGAACATTCGTTGTTGTCTGCACAGAGAGGAGAGCAGCTTCAGTTCAACATGAACCACAAAGGGTTAACAGTGGAACCAGAGCAGGTCTGCAGAATAAAACCTCAATATGACAATAAGGTCCACATGCTCCCTACTCTCACTGCACATCACAGTGCTCTCTGCAAATACCACAGAAATAAAAAAACACACAATGATCTGGTGCTCACAGCCAGTTCACATAAGATTTTAGGTGCAATTTCCTTCAGCTGCATTCATATTCATACAACATAAAATGTTTCTAACTAGTCTCTAACTGATAGTCTCTAACTGATAACTACCAGTCTGTAACTGAAACTACTAGTCTCTAACTGAAACTACTACTCTCTAACTGATAACTAGTCTCTAACTGATAACTAGTCTCTAACTGATAACTACCAGTCTGTAACTGATAACTAGTCTAACTGATAACTACCAGTCTCTAACTGATAACTAGTCTAACTGATAACTACCAGTCTCTAACTGATAACTAGTCTAACTGATAACTACCAGTCTCTAACTGATAACTAGTCTCTGATAACTACTAGTCTCTAACTGATAACCAGTCTCTAACTGATAACTACTAGTCTCTAACTGATAACTGGTCTCTAACTGATAACTACTAGTCTCTAACTGATAACTAGTCTCTAACTGATAACTAGTCTCTAACTGATAACTACTAGTCTCTAATTGATAACTAGTCTAACTGATAACTAGTAGTCTCTAACTGATAACGACCAGTCTCCAACTGATAACTAGTCTCCAACTGATAACTAGTCTCCAACTGATAACTAGTCTCCAACTGATAACTAGTCTCCAACTGATAACTAGTCTCCAACTGATAACTACTAGTCTCTAAGTGATTACTTCCAGTCTCTAACTGATAACTAGTCTCAACTGATAACTACCAGTCTCTAACTGA